GATGTAAACACACAGCTCACATTTAGCTCAGCTTGTGCTTTCTACAAGAGCATTTTTAATCATTTTGCAGTCTGCAGTCACACAGAGTGAAGGGCTTCATTTGTGGTATTCTTAGCCTTTGCCTTTACTAAACCACTAAACTTCTTTAGGATAAAGATTCTCATTTTCTCTTACCCTTCCCCAAAGGAAATACATAACTTATTCCTCAAGAGATCTTGAGGTGTGTCTTCCAATGTCACCTTTGAATTTTCAGTACCCCCTGGCTTGACAATCTATCACCACGTACTTGGCCTCCTCCAGCTCTTCTGTGCGCTGAATAGCGTCTGTCTCATATTTGGTTCTCCACTGGGCCACTTCGCTGTTGGCCTTGGACAGGGCACGCTGCAGCTCCCCCTTGGCTTCCTGCTCCTCCTCATATTGTTCCCGGAGCAAGTCACAGTCATGGCGAGCAGACTGCAAGGCGTGGGCCAGGGCGTTCTTGGCCTGCGGGGACAATGGGAGTGGGACAATGAATTTTCTGTGAGACAACAGTATGTTAACTTAGGGAAAGTTGTTGAAAACTCTTTGAATTTAATGTCAGCTCAGGGAAAAATGGTACATTGATTCCATGGCCTGAGAAGCTTCTTATTGCTTCATTCATCAGAATCTAGTATGTTACCTCAGGAGAGATGATGGGTAAACTCTAAATGACAACTATAAAGCTGGGAGATGTTGAATCCTTTTAAATATGTTCTAAAGTTTAAACTGCCATTATGGAAAAGTAGAATAAGAAATGCAATTTTTTAGATGTATCTCAACCTTTTTTTATATGCCTTTATTAACAGAATAAAGACCTAAAGTTGTCCATCCCTGTCTCAGTATCTAGGTTGGAGGCAATGCCCTCCTCAACTTTTCTTCCCATGCTAGAGAGGAAGGTGGAAAAATTTTCCATCTAGTTTGAGATCTCTCAAATTAAAATGACATGGCTAACATATTCTGATTTAATGTGAGAGTAGGAAGTATCCTGCAAGAAAATGGAATCTGAATCCAAAGTCAAACCCCCTACAGGAAGTACTTTTACCTTTATTTCTTCCTCTAAATGTCTCTTTAGTTCCTCAATCTGTTGAGTAAATGCCTGTTTGCCTCTGGATAGCTGAGATATCAAAGCATCTTTTTCTTCCACCTGGCGTGAATATTCACCTGAGAAATTTTACAGATAGACTAAATTAAAAAGCAATATCAAACCAATGCATCTTTAAAGCAATGTATACCAGCTTTTAGAGTATGGACCAATTTGAGTAAAACATCACTCTTGTTATCATTGGTTAGAGGTTCTCCCATTCCTGAGGGGTGTGGAGGTGCGTTACCTGCTTCTGTCTGCAGACGAGCTCTCTGAGTATTGAGGTCATTGATCATGCGCTGATCCTCCTCTTCTTTTGTTTTAATCTCACTTAGCTGGTCTTCCAGAGTGCGACACATTTTCTCCAAGTTTGCCTACATGACAAATATATGTAAGGAAAGAGGACTATCTCTAAATTCTAGCATGTTGTTCTCATGATGAAAAACAAGACAACTGTGTGTGATAGCAAAATGTAACCATAAGGTTCAAAATCATGTATCAGGTCATGCATCATAGGGCAGTAAACTGACAGAAACTCTGTACCTTGGCTTTGGAGACAGACTCCATGTT